TGTTATGTGCCATCGAGTCGGACCCGACTCATAGCGACCCCTCCTTGGGTTTCCGAGGCAGTATCACTACAGAAGTAGGATTGCCCAACTTTACTTCTGAGGAGTGGCTGGTGGGTTTGAACCGCCAGCCTTCTGGTTAGCAGTCAAGTGCCTTAGGTATACTATGCTACCAGAGCTCCTAAGTAGGATATAGAACAGTGTTTTTGCATAGTATGTTATGCCAATTGAGCTTGATGTCCCCTGCAACCATGGTCCCAAGCCCACAAGTCCAACTACTTGTTTCCTCAGGGTGGTTGGCTTTGGCCAAGAAGTTATCATAACTTTGTCCTTTGGTAGCTCTATTATATATTTGGACATTATTACAGCACATACAAATATGTATGTAGAAATAGATACTATGTTTTTTAAAATAAAGAAAGGTATGCATCAAGTATTATATCTTTCACCATAGTTATTCAGTCTGTATGCTAAACAAATAATCCAAGAAGTGGACTATATGAAAAAGAACACAACAGCAGGATTGGAGGAAGACTCATTAACAACCTGTGATATGCAGATGATACAACTTGCTTGCTGAAAACAAAGAGAACTTGAAGCACTTATTGATGAAGATCAAAGACTATAATATGTATTACACCTCAACATAAAGAACACAAAAATTCTTACAATTGGACCAACAACATGGTAAACAACAGCAGCATCATGATAAACAGAGAAAAGATTGGAAGTTGTCAAGGATTTCATTTTACCTTGATACACAAATCAGTGCCCATAGAAGTTCCAGTTAAGAAATAAAACGATGTATTATTGCATTGGGCAAATATGCCACAAAAGAACTCTTTAAAGCGTTAAAAAATAAAGATGTTACCTTGAGGACTAAGGTGTGTCTGACCCAAATCATAGTATTTTTGATCGCCTCATATGCATGCCAAAGCTGGACAATGAATAAGGAAGACTGCATAATTGATGCATTTGAACTATTGTATTGGTGAAGAATATTGAATATACCATGGACTGCCAGAAGTACAAACAAATCTGTCTTGGAAGAAGTACAGCTAGAAAGCTCTTTGGAAGCAAGGATGGTGAGACTGTCTCATGCATTTGGATACGTTATCAAGAGGGATCAATCCCTGGAGAAGAATATCATACTTGGTAAAGGGTCAGCAAAAAAGAGGAAGACCTTCAACAATATGCATTGATACAGTGGCTGTAAAAATGGGCTCAAACATAGCAATGATTGTGAGGATGGTGCAGGGCCAGGCAGTGTTTCGTTGTGTTGTACATATAGTCATTATGAGTTGGAACGGACTCAAGGGCATCTGACAACCACCACCACCACCACAACAACAAAGCAGTCTGGTCAGAAGTGTCATTATTACCAAATTGCAGTGACATGTCAAATCATGAGGTACATCTGCATTTGCTACAAGAATGAACTGTTGTTTTCATTGCTGCATTGGTTTTATAATAGCTGATTTTGTCAAATTTTTCTGGTGTATTTGTGAACCTATTTCAGTAACTTTTTTGAGAATGAAGTAGTAATTAAAGAAAAATAAAAATAAAAAAAGTTTCCAATCAGTTACTAATAATGTTGTAATAATGTTATAATCCAATGCAAAAAGATTTTACAAAACAATTTTGTTAGTATTCATATAATCTAAGAACTATTACCTTTAAGCAATTTATAGCTATATTTATTATGTATTATGCTATGATTAAAATTGATAGTAAACATGAATAAAGATTATGAATGGTATGGTGGGAGGTGGTCATGGCAGGTGATGCCATGAGTTGCCACCAACCCTAGCAATGCTACTGCCAGGTACATAAATATTTAGTAACTGAATGATTGCGCGACTGAATGAAGTGGGAAGACAGCAGGTTGCCAGATTATATGAGGCAATCACAGCATCAAGTGAAGCTAGTATTTATATAGAAGGATCTTAATTTGAGTGATCACACAGTTCTGAACAGGCCCAAATCCGGAGAGTGAGCTCTGGCACAAGGCATGGAAGAAGGAGAAAAAACAGTCTGAAGTCTCTTGGCTGGGAGTGGGTCGCGTGCAGGACCGACAGCCCTGCTTGAGGCATCAAGTCCCGTGTCTGTCCCCAGGCCGACCCCAGCCTAAGCCTTCTTGTGCTATAAATACAGCGACCCACATGCTGCAGTGACATGGTGTTCTCTCTGCTCGCAGGGACAGATAACATTAATTTGCCCTTTAAACGTCCCAAGCTGAAGGGACAGCCCCCGGCCCACCCCTGCCTCCCGGAAGCTCCTTCGCCCCCGATGCCCTCTGCAGAGGAGGGGGATGGCCAGGGGGTGTCCAAGCACCTGCCCAACCAATGCGCAATGCGCGCACTGCCCCGGGGTCCCTCCTCCTCTCGCGAGAGACTGTGCTGGGCATATAAGGAGAGCTGCGGGGTGAAGCAAGCGGCCCCTCCGCATCGCGCTGGGACAGAGACGGGGTCGGGGTGCTTGTCTGGGGCGTAGGCGAGGGTAAGAGCGAGAGCGAAAGCGCAGCTCACTGAAAGCTCACTGCGCCGGGCTATCATCATGAGTGATCAAGCTTTGAGCTTCTTGAAGGACTTTCTAGCGGGTGGCGTGGCCGCTGCTGTCTCCAAGACCGCGGTCGCCCCTATCGAGAGGGTGAAATTGTTGCTGCAGGTAAGGAGGGCGAGCCTTGAAGATGCGGGAGCAGCAAGTCCGGTGCGGGCGGGAAGCTGCGCGAACCGCGAGCCGCAGTGAACTGCAGGCGCGGGACAGGGAGCCGCAGAAATCTGTGCTAGGCCCCAGGCTCGGGCTCCCGGCCTTCGTGAAGGGGAAGGTGCCCTCTGCGTAGACAGGTCCAGCGTCAGTAATAGATTCCTGGTGTCGGGTGGCGTCCCGCGTTCCGGTGCCTATATATGGAAACCCACCCGGAGTCGCTTAACGGAGCGCCAGATCCTGCGCCTATGACAGCGTTGGCATACCACTTAGGCCTCACAGGCCGACTTCACCTTTTGATTTTCAGTATATTCCCTGTACCTTCTTACTTGCTTTCCACCTTTTACAATAAATAAAAGCATCAAAATCATCACTTTTCAGTAAGAACGCATTTACTGTGTGTCAGACACTATGCTGACATATTTCATTTTTCTATGCATAATCCCTATTTATGTCGCCCGATAAACCCTAATATAGATCTAGCATATAGAGAAAATGCAGTAAGTAAATGATTATATTTACACAAATCACCTTTTCAGTTTATTTAGGACAGATAGGTATTCCCCACCCACCCCCACCTCCCATTTAACAGATAGATAACTATTTACTGTCCTCTCCCAAAATCTTTTCCTCTTCTACCTGGTCATACCCTCCACTACCTGCAGAGAATATCTTAAGGGATTCATAATTCACAAAGGATTTTATGGCTTTTAATAATCATCATCCCATTCACCCTGTTTTTTTCTAGCAGCCCAAAAGGGAGAGGCCTCTCAATGAGGAATACCCTCATTTGGGAGTCAAGTAAGATTGATTCTCTCCATGCTATTAATTCTTAAACCAAAATTATCAACAACAACAAAACCCAACAAATTGTTAACAACAGCAACAAACCCCTCAGTTATTTGGCTAATTGGGTAATGTTCGAATAATTTTGGGCTCTAATGACTAGTAAGTATATTCTCCTTCCTTTGTTGGAGCATTTACTACTCAGAGATGATCTTCTCCAATGAGACTACAATAACATTAAAGTGGTACAGTGGTTAAAGTGTAGGTCTGCTAACCAAAAGTTGACAGTTCAACCCACTAGCTGCTCCATACGAGAATGATAAGGCAGTCTGCTTCCATAAAGATTTACAGCTTTGGAAACCCTAAGGGACAGTTCTACCCTGTCCTATAGAGTCACTGTGAGTCTGAATCCACTTGATGACAGGGGGTTTGGTTTTGGTTTTGGGGTCCTCATGTCTGTTAAATCAGGAGTCCTTTGGGGAAGGGATCTTTATTCATTTCTGTCTTCCAGTAAACTCCTATTATAGATCTGTCCCATAGGGGAAAACACAATACATAAATGACTATGTTTACACAATTATATTACCTTTTTATTTTGGAGCACAAACTTTTTACTCAACTGTCCTGATAAATCAGCAAAATTGACTTGTTATCCAAATCCAAACCCACTGTAACAGAGTCAATTCTGACTCATTGTGACCTTAAGGACAGAATAGAACTGTTCCATAGGGTTTCCAAGGCTGTAAATCATTACAGAAGTAGACTGCCTCATTTTTCTCCTGTGAAGTAGGTAGTGGGTTCAAACTGCTGACCTTTTGGATAGCAGCCAAATACCTTTAACCACTGTGCCACCAGAACTTGTTATCCAAGTAGCTAACATTTATTTACATTTCCTCAATATCCATTTGATTTCCTCACACTTTTTTTTTTTTCAAAAGAAAAGGCAAAAAAATGTAAACCTTCTTTTTCTCTTGCCCCTCTTCCCTTCTCTCTGCCCCTACCTGTCCTCTCTTACCACCCCCACCCCCAACAGGTCCAGCATGCCAGCAAACAGATTAGTGCTGAGAAGCAGTACAAAGGGATCATTGATTGTGTGGTGAGAATCCCCAAGGAGCAGGGCTTTCTCTCCTTCTGGAGGGGTAACCTGGCCAATGTGATCCGTTATTTCCCCACCCAAGCTCTCAACTTCGCCTTCAAAGACAAGTACAAGCAGATCTTCCTGGGGGGCGTGGACCGGCATAAGCAGTTCTGGCGCTACTTTGCTGGTAACCTGGCTTCTGGTGGGGCAGCTGGGGCCACCTCCCTCTGCTTTGTGTACCCACTGGACTTTGCTAGGACCAGGTTGGCTGCTGACGTGGGCAAGGGTGCTGCCCAACGCGAGTTCACTGGTCTGGGAAACTGTATTACCAAGATCTTCAAGTCTGATGGCCTGAGGGGTCTCTACCAGGGTTTCAACGTCTCTGTCCAGGGCATCATTATCTACAGGGCTGCCTACTTCGGAATCTATGATACTGCCAAGGGTGAGACGGGGGCCAAAGGGTGGGGAGTGGGAAGGAGGAGGGTATGTAGACGGAGTATCTTCAGGGATTCCTAATTTAACAAAGGACTTTATCTTGTTTGTTTTTTTCTAGTCCCTGAACTAAACTGAAGCTTGTGTATGAGGAAGGGATATGGTATGGATAAATTAAGAACACAAAGGGTTCTCTTCCTCCTCTCTTCATTAACTTAAACTCTGGCCTTGTGTTGTGCAAAGAGTAGGAAGGGGGAACCTAACTCCCTTGACACAGCTGTATCACTTACCAGAGTTTAACTTAGAGCAACTTCAACATACATTGCCTGCTGAGAAGAGCCCTGGCATCCTTGGCTCCAGAGAGGGCAGCTACCAACTTTGGCTGGCTGCCTCACAGTTTGTGAGGCATCCCTACAAGGGGCAGTTCTTCAGAACGGCTAGGTGTGGACTTGGGGGTCCTCCTGTCTACTCCCACCTACATTTTTTGCTGAGCTGGTGTGAGGAATGTCTTCATAACTATTTGGTTTCTTGGCTCTGTCCAGGGATGCTGCCTGATCCCAAGAATGTGCACATAATTGTGAGCTGGATGATTGCACAGAGTGTGACAGCAGTCGCGGGGCTGGTGTCCTACCCTTTTGACACCGTTCGCCGTAGGATGATGATGCAGTCTGGCCGGAAAGGGGGTAAGTCTGAGTCCTCCTAATCTAAATCTTCCTTATTTTGCCCCTGAGAACACTATCACTGCTCCTTTCATTTATCATTATCATGAATAAAGGGTTAACATTACTTGTTAAAAAGAGCTCAGGGAAGAAAGATATAATTCCCCCTAACATTCACAACAAGGAACCCTAGTGGTGCAGTGGCTAAGTGCTTGGCTGCTAACTGAAAGGTTGGTGATTCAAACCCACCAGCTGCTCTGTGGGAGAAAGATGGGGCAGTCTATGGCACTATAATCCAAGAAAGATTATAGTCTTGAAAACCTGGTGGGGCAGTTCTGCCCTGTCCTAGAGGGTCACTATGAATCAGAATCTACTCAACGGCAACAAGGTCATTTTTTTTTTTTTTAACACTCACACGTATTTGTTTAGAGAAATCTTTTTTGCTTTCATTAAAGACATGATAGAAACAAAAAATGGGATATTTAAGGTGACTATTATTAAATGTCTAGCATTATAGAGGCCTTAGGTCCTCTTCCTTTTACAGCCAGCTTGCAGAAGCAAGGGAAGAGAATTGAAATAATTATCTAGTTTATTTTAAAACAATTCTTGCTTCACTTATCATCTAATGCTAGTGGATTAGGGCATTTGAGCCATCTATTGTGGTAGAAAAAGTTTTGGCATTTCTAGGTTAAAACATGAAATTTGCCATTTTTAAAGTCAAAAATAGTCAGATGGTAGCAGTTTTGTACAGTTCAACCTAACAGTTGTATCTCTTTTAACTATAATCATGGACAGCATGATCTAAGATTAGACTTCACTTTTTGCCTCTATAAAAAGGGGACCACACAGCCCAGTACTCCCACTCCATTCTGCTCCTTTCTTATACAGTTGCACAGTTTTGTGAGGTAGTTGGTTAATTGTCCCAGTTCTTCACTTGATCTTGTGATAAAGGAGAAGGAAAATCAAGAGATCCTGTTTAACAGTTATGTAAGGAAGGAGATGTCCAGGTGAATATTGCAAAGAGTTGGGGCTTTAAGGCTCTAATGACTTTAATTTTTAAAACTGACAATATTGTGTACAGATATATTTCAGAGGAAAAGTACCCCCCCCATCTCCAAAATTATGGAACCCTTTCCAATGTTTGTTTCCACAGCTGACATTATGTACACTGGGACAATCGACTGCTGGAGGAAGATTGCAAAAGATGAAGGAGGCAAAGCTTTCTTCAAAGGTGCCTGGTCCAATGTATTGAGAGGCATGGGCGGTGCTTTTGTATTGGTATTGTATGATGAGATCAAAAAGTACGTCTAATGTAATTAAAACTCATGTTCACTGGTTCCAGATCCATTGTGTGGTTTAATAGACTTTTCCTAGGAGAAGTGAAAAGACAGATCTGGAATAAAACCAGATTGAAAGGAATATCTCAGAAAAAAAAAAAAAATTCTTCACTAAGTGTTCATTAAACCACAAATGTATTTTGTATTTATTTTACATTTGAAGTTCCACAGCTAATATAAAATAACTTATCATACTTGTACAACTAACTGAAGAACTGATCATGAATAACTAAATGTAAAACATCAATAAAGACCACTTAATGCATGTTCTCTAATTATTTACCTAATAACTGCTAAATGGATTTTAAAAATAAGACTGTAAATGCACATTTTATAGCATGAGTCATTTGTAAACGAATGGCCAAGCTTCTAAATGTCAGATATTACACTAAGTATGTATTAGAATACCTACAATGCTTAAAATTCTGGTTCTCAAACTTAAGCAGGTTATACACATCTGTCTTTTAGCTTACCTCATATGATGTTGCTATAGTAGTGAAAAGACAATCGTAGGGTTAAATTTTCTTTTATGCACTTGTATTCAGACTTCAGGAATTCTGATGTTCTGTTTAAAAGCTTTAAAGCACAGTTCTAGGAATTTTGCATTATTAGGTCCCTGGGTGGTACAAAGGGTTAAGCACTCAACTATGAACCACCTCAGAAGAAAGGCCTGACCATCTGCCCCAAAAAGTCACAGCTTGAAAACCCTGTCTGCACACATGGAGTTCTGTCTACACAAATCAGGTCCTTAGGAGCTGCAGTTGACTCGATGGCAACTAACAACAGGAAGTGTTCAATTCTGGTGCTTTTAGAGAATGAGATACTTAGAGTTTTATAGCAAATGAAGGGTAGTCACTGAAAATTAGTTATGAAGCTAGCTTCAAATACTAAGTTTTGTGGAAGATTTGAAAAAAGACACGAACCTGACCTAAAAGAAGTTTAAATGGGAGGAGGAGAGAGGTGAAATGGCATTGTTAAATAATGTGTTTAATGCAATGAATTTTGGTGAAGTTGTGCTAGACAGGGGGCAGGGAGATGAAATGAGAGACTGGGAAGAAGGGAGTAGTAGGAAGTAGCTCTTGAAAGAAAATAACTACATTTAGCTACATGGGTACAGAAAGTATCTTCTAGTACTTCTGTAACAATTGATCAAGACCTAGAGGGAAAAAAAAAGTCTGTTTTGGATTTGGCTTTCATAGGTTTGTGTGCAAGGGAAATTTAATTTCCAATTGGAAATTAAGTACTTTTAGTCCAGAAAAAGACCAAACGGTTACAATAATCCTAGCTTATTGAGAATGATTTGGAGGAAACAAGTCCTTATATTCCTTATATTCTAGACAAAGCTTTGGGGGGTGTATGATGCCTCTGTAACTTCAGTTCTTCATCCTTCTTTCCAGGCTCTTCCATTTATTCCCCTTGTGTCCCACCAAAGAAAAGCTGGCTGCGTTGTGTTACCTCAATAACCATTGTGTTTTACCATTCTAAGATTACCTCTAACTTAATTTAGTAGATAACTCTACCAATGGAAAAGGCTAAAGGCTAAGAAGAAAGAGGAGCTCTGGTAGTGTAGTGCCTAAGGCATTTGATTGCTAATCAGAAGGCTGGTGGTTCAAGTCCACCAGCCACTCCTCAGAGGAATGATGGGGCAATCTACTTCCCTAGTGATACCGCCTCAGAAACCCAAGGAGGGGTCGCTATGAGTTGGATCTGACTTGACAGCAGTGAGGTTTTTTTGGGGGGGTGGGGGTGGTTAAGAAGAAAGGATCCCATTTCCTTAAAGCCAGGTGTGGTGGTTCAGGTTATGCATCAACTTGGCTGGGCCTGGTTTTGAGTGGCTGGGCAGCTGGATTTAGTTATTCCCCATGATGAGACTGGTAATCGACTGCATGTGGAATCTGCTGTGAGCATCTGAGTAGCTAGCTGCCTTAGGGATGTGGTCTGCTTCCAGTATATAAGGAGAAGCTTTGAGGCTGGTCTCTGAACTTTTTGGCATGCCTGGATCCTGTGTTTAGCTGTGTCTTCACTCAGCAGCCTGCCATGTTGCCTGCTGTTCTCAGGACTGTTTCTGGACTTGAACTAGTGGCCTGCTGTGTTGCTTGATAATCTTGGGACTGTGCCATGTTACTTGTCAACCTGGGGTTTGTCAGCCTCAGCAGCCAGCAGCTAGCTGCTTGAGTTAAAAAAAAAAAAAAAAAAAAAAAATCTCCAGGTCCAGTGGACTAGGAGCAAGAGGCAGAGCTGAAGCCCAAGGTCAAGGAGCCTTCACCCAGCCCCTAGAGCTAGCACTCTGAACTCAGATTTCTAACCTTCTAAACTGTGAGAATAAATCCATTTGTTAAGTCATCCAGTCATAGTATTCCTGTTAACAGCATCCCAAGAGAACCAAGACACCAGGTAACAAATGTTATAGATATATTGTCCTCTCACTGCTTTTCATCCCAAGAGTGAGATGAATGGTCAAAATTCTGTTGATGAGAGAAGATAAAAGCAGGGCAAGTTATTAGGACAAATGCTTTTGTGGAACGTATCAAAAAGTAGGGCCCGTACTTTCAGAGTTTTCAAACCTAAAAGTTCAGAATGAGGACTCCAAGAGAAGCAGTTGGGAACGGACAGGAATTAATGAACTGTAACCATAATTGTTTTCTACTCTTTAACTGTATCCTCCCTGGCATGGGACAGGAGTAATTAAAATTTATCAAATAGGACACATTATCTGCATTCTGCATGTGACCCTGATAGCAGCCTCCCCTATTCCTCTAAAGTTACCTCAGGAAGAGCTGCTGAGTCAGTACTTCCCTACAGCTACTTCATTCACAAGAACTAGAACTCTGAGCCTCTGATACAATGCAGTGACCTGGGAGGGGTACAACCTACTTCTTTTCTTTATTGATGCCTTATAATCTTCATACCACACCACTGCTGTGCAAAGGTGTTAACATGCTTGAAGTTCAGGGTAGATGAAATGGCTTTATATGAAGATGTTTGCTGTTAGTTGCCTTTGATTATAATTTGTAGTTATCCCATGTGACCCCATGTGTGCAGACTGCCCCATAGGGTTTTTACAGCTATGACCTTTCAGAAGTAGATCATGATGCCTGGTGCAGGGTTGGGGGTGGGGCGTGGTTTTCAAACCACCAACCTTTCAGCTGGTAGTCAAGGGCTTAAGCATTTGCACTATTTACTGACTTCTCCATGAAGATAACAAACAATTCAGAATTGAATGTCAGACTCTTGGGTTTCCAACTACCAGAAATTTCTCACTAGCTCCCGTTTTCCATACTCTCCCTAAATGGCCTCCTCTTGCCACCCCTTCCTGAAATAAGTGTTTTCCTTTTTTTTTTTTTTGCATTTTCTCCCTTAAAGTCTCACCTACAGGCTTTTTTTTTTTTAATCACTTTTTTTTTTTTTTAAGTGTATGAGCTGTGGTAGCATAGTGCCTAAGGCACTTGACAGCTAACCAGAAGACTGGTGGTTCAAACCCACCAGCCGATCCTCAGAAGGAAGGTTGGGCAATCTACTTCCGTAGTGATACTGCCTCGGAAACCCAAGGAGGGGTCACTATGAGTCGGGTCTGACTCGATGGCACATAACAGCAACAAATGAGAAAAATTATGGAGGATGACATATAAGTATCCCATGAACAAGCCCATAATGGTAATAATTGGGGAATAAATTTAAAAAGCTGCCTCAATTATTTGTTTAAATTTCAATTAACTAGATAATTGTTCCTATTCCATTTTCCTTTAGTTTGAACATACAGAATAACTTGTGTTGAGGCAGTATTTAATAAATATAACTGTGCAAGGCTACGAGGGGATGTCAGTGTCACAAGGACAGTGATTTTTGTCTTTCTCATTCCATGTCCCTGGAACCTAAAAGAGTACCTGGAACATACCCCAACCAAACTCACTGCCATGGAGTGGTATGATACAGACAACGAAGAAGAATGTTAATCACTGACTCATAGTGACCCTGAAGGACAGAGTAGAATTACACCATAGAGTTTCCATGGGTATAAATCTTTATGGAAGCAGACTGCCTCATCTTTCTCCTGCAGAGTGGCTAGTGGGTTCAATCTTTGATTGGCAGCTGAGCACTTTAACTACTGTGCCACAGGGCTCTTTGCCTGAAACATAGATGGTTTAATAAGTACATGTTGAATGTAAGAATAAATGAGAAGAAAAGATGCATCTAAAATAGTGCAGAGACAACCTGGAGAGTATCTGGAGAGGCAAGCCCTCCCATTTGGGTGAATATTGAACATGCAGAGTAGTGTGAGTAGACAAGCATGTTGGGATCACATAATGCATAACCTTAAATTTACACTTCAAGTCCTTAATTTTTACATAGTCCACCGTGACATTATAATACATTCTAGTAAGATTACCTAGAACATAATCTTTAGTCACTTAAAACACTTTACATGATTTAATGTGCTCCATATACTCATTAAAAATTTTTGTAGTGCTTTGCTGAAGCATCTTTAAACATTTTTATTGTAGTTTAGTTTCTCCACTTTTTTGTCATCAGCAATGAATCAGATACACTGAGTGATACACTCTGGTCTGACATTAGCCTGAAGGCTGTGGCAAATGGAAAAGTATGATGCGGTTTATGCTCTCAAGGATTTCTTCTGCTTTATTTGGGAGTAAAATACAGGCTAAAGTCAATACACGAATAATACATGTGATTTAAGTACTAAACCACATGATGTATAATCTTAAATCAGTGCTTCCTAACTTTTCTCTAGCTCAAATCTTATTTTAGTAATGCAGATGTGAGGAGGTGAAGCTATGGTTTAGCATGATAGAAGTGAAAATGGAAGATGTGTTCTATTTTAAGAATGGACAGGGCATGATATAGACAACAAAGAAAAATGTTAATCACTGAGAATGCCAAGGTTTTATGTCATGTTTGAGAAGAAATGACAATACCTTAATAGCAACTGAAGAGGCAGTACTCTGGAAGGTCAGTGACTTCAATTTTGGATATAATGATTTTGAAGTAACAGTAAAAACATCATCCAAGAGGAATCCTAAAATAAAGGACTGTGTACAGGAGAGAACCGAAAACTAGGACTACAAATCTGGAGACAATGAAAACAGCGTTTTTGATAAACAGGCCCTAATAATCAGTAAAATGAGTATGCAAACAGAGATGAAGACCAAAATAACTTTGGAGAAGAGTCACCATTAGGGATTAAAAAGACGGATGTCATGAAAGTCAACAGAGACAGAAGCCAGAGAATTAAGAACTGAGGTAATCTAAGAGTCAC